CTTCATCTTCAGGGATCAGAATTCTGGTTGCATAACGAAAAAACATTATACTAGGCAGAAAACGGTGGAAGTAGAGAAATAATTTGTTGAGCTTATTGTTAGTTGATCATTCATTCAATTTTAAATAGAGGAAATATTATGTTATAAAATTAATGTACGTGCGTATCGCAACGTCGCGAGATTTGAATCGCAATAACATACAAATTTTATCGGATATATATGCCGATTCTTTAGAAATTAAATTTATTGAACAATGAATTTATTGACGTGATTGCAGCTCGCGGCGGAAAATTATTGATACGCTAATTCGTGATATAGCGTATTGGACATCGAAAGATGGACATTTTTTGAAAGAGCCTCTCTATCACTTACAGAAACGTTTTAGACAAGTTCAGTCTACGTGGTATGAGAATCTAATATTAATTAATTCTTCCTATCAATTTATTTCATATAAAATATATAATTCTTACTTGTCTTTTGATGCATAAGGTATTCGATGTTTGTTTGATCGATTACTAATCTGAATTTTCAATAATTTCGATAGACAAATATTTATAAATACACGATGCATTCTATCAAAAAATGTCCATACGATAAAAGAATATTCATGTGGACAACCAGGTCGCGTGAAATGAAGGTAAACGTTAACTCTCGAATTAAAATATAAAAAAAAAAGAAAAAAGAAAATCTCTATAAACGTGTTAGGTGAAAGAATCTTTCGACCAGCACTTTTAGGTGCTGCCATGTCTTCCATTATTTGTATATTAATTAATAATAAAATCAACTATAACGTATTATATAAAATATCTTTACGCCTACAGATACACATACATACACATACAAAAATTACATACACCGAAAGATAATTACGAACTTATCTAATATTGTCTACAGATAAGGAAACAATGTATAATATTACAAAACAAAAAAATGTAAACGCAAAAGGAAATATGGTATTTTCACAGACAATTTTTAAGACGAAGATCACGTTTATTGTTTCGTATAAGTTCTGATGAGGTATTATAACTTTGCCATGTTTTCTGAGCGTACGTTACTGAAATAGTTTGTGTAAAAGTGTATGGAAAGATCAGGGATGCGTTCCGTTTCACGCATAATGCGCATGATGTATCATTTTATCTGTATTCTTTAATATTTGATGAACAACAAGGATGAAATGATACGTTATACGCATCGTATGGAAACAGAACGCACTCCTGAAGGAATGAAAGCCCGTTTTCGCAAGCGCAATTAAAATTATGTCTAAAATATAATATATTTGCTACTTTTGATTTGCAGAACAAAATTCGGGAATGCCCCAAGGTATCTACAGTCAAGATTCACGTGCAAATTTTGCACGAATTGATCGCACGAAATATATGTCGAAATCATTGCATTTTTACTATAATTTCTTAACAAAAAAAACAACGCAAAACAATTAAATTCTACAAATAAATAACTAAATTCTATAAAAATTATAAATAAAATTTTGTTTCTAATTTTATTCAAATATAACTCTGGTAAAAATTTTTCTGAGATTTCTTTATATAATTTTTCAGAATCTCTCTGTATAATTTTTATAACTTTTGTTGGAAGTTTTTATATAACATTTCAAAATTTCTATAGATATAAGATTAATTTCAGAATTTTTTACAATTCTTATATAATTTTTTAACTTTAAAAAGATTGTTTTCAAAATTTTTATACAAATTGTGATACTTTTCAGAAATTCTAAGATAATTTACCTATCTTTTATATAATTTTTATATATATAAATTCTAAAATAATCTAAGATTGAATTCTAAATTTACCGAGTGATGTATTAGAAAGTATAATTAGTGCGATGATTTCGAGCAACTTGTTATCCAGAGAATTTAAATGTGTACAGAGGAATAACAGGTCATAATAATCCACATTATTTTTGCGTTTTTATCATAAGATAAAAGTCTGCTTCGCATATTAAAAAAGTATTTGTAAAAGAATAACATAAACTTAGCTAAGATGATCATCTTCAAAATGCAAAAAACACATTTTAATTTTTATTGACTTTAATAGTGTTATATTGGTATATCTTTTCCGCTATACGGAAACAAAATTTAAAGTATGTTTTTTGCATTTTAAAGATGGCTATCTTATCCAAGTTTACACTAGTTGGATAATTCGATAGCCATTTTAAGAAGTTTTATTAACGTCGAATTGGTTTTTTCATTTCGACTTCTCGTTTCTTGAACAATGTATCATATAGTAGGTATATATAGGAAAAAACTATGAAATAGTTTTTGATATATGAAATTGCGAAACAGAGAAAACGGGATGCGCAAACTATCACGATCTAGCGTACGTGCGCATACACTATAGTTCTATCGACAATTTACAGATTTTCATTTTGTACAATATATATTTAATCTCTAGATAAAAGAGAGAATGAGAGCGCGAAAAGAGTATCTATTAAAAATAATAAAATTCGTGTTATGATTGGCGGTAAGGACGGACATTCCGTTATATATATTATACGACCATATATTGTACGTTACATCATAACGCGCTTTAACAGTTTGAAAAGGAAAAAAAAACTTGTCAAATAAAACCCTTTTACTTGATGTATTTATCAAACGTAAATACAATGACGTCTATAATATATTGCAATAAAAAGAACTAAAACCACTCATGAGACTAGTTTTTTTCTTGTACAGGAAAACGGCAAAAGAAAGAATGGAAATGAGGACAGTGTAATAGATGAAAATAGTATATTTCGATCAATTCACAGATTTACTTTTTGCATAATGTTACTAGAAAATGAATATTATAAAAATAAAATATTAATATTAATATTAAATAAAACCATTTAAAATTATAAATGTAAAATATTCAAGACAGAAAGAGAGAGAGAGAGAGAGAGAGAGAGAGAGAGAGAGAGAGAGAGAGAGAGAGAGGAAGAAATCCTATATTTTTCGTCAAAAATAATTCAATAAGAACAAAAAATCATGGAAATCTTATTATTACATTACAACTTTAATTGTTTGAAAAGGAAAAAAAAGAAAATTTTTATAAAATAAAATCGTTTTATTTATGACGAATTCGGTGGCACACATGCACTGATTCTACTCTAGAGCTGCCCTGAAATGACAAATAGCGTTTTCGGCCCGATCGGATTCGCACCAACCTGGGTTGGATTAATCTTTCCTATTGGTTGACGTTACACGCTCTACCAATAGGAGAGCACAAAACGCCATTAATCCAACCCAGATTGATGTAAACCGGACCGAAAACACTATAGGTTTGTTCGCGTCGCAAGCTTCAACATGCTCCAACATGCTCCTTACCATAGCTCCTACTCATAGCGTTTTTCAATGGCAGAACTGGTGCGCACTCAGTACACATTAAAGCTGTTGTACACTAATCTAATCTGAATGTAAAAGTGATATATCTAAATTAATAAAATACCCAACGTATATTTTATCAAATACCACAATAAAATTTATTGAAGATTTCACGGTTTAATTCGTTTCTATATTTTTATTAAACATACATCTTTACGTCGATTTGTGTACAACGGCTTTAAAGTGTACTAAGTGCGCACCAGCTCTGCCAGTGAAAAACGCTATCAGGCTAGTGTCCCATGGAGCGGAAATTTACAGCGGAACGAAACAGCCCGACCAATCACAACTCCGCAGTCGTTACTCTGCTTTCTTTCCTGCGATCGTGATTGGTCTTGCTGCTCCGTTCCGCTGTAAATTTCTGCTCATGGGACGTCAGCCTCACTCTATCAAGTGCGTTGGAATGAGTAAAGCCCAAGATACAATTGCTGGATTTACACTGCATCCGATTTTCGTTGTACGCTCTGCAACCAATCAGAAAACAGGATTTCGATGAATTTTGCTTCGTATTATCGGAATCCTGTTTTCTGATTGGATGAAAAAAGCGTCGTACGACGAAAATCGGATGCAGTGTGAATCCAGCAAATGCGAGGGAATAGCGATAGCGATAGAAATAACACGATTTCAATCTATCAGAAATCGGATACACTGGAATACACAGTTTCTGATAGGTTGAATTATGTTATTCCTGTCGACCAATCGAAATTCTTCTTTTCCATGGAATGGAAGGAAAGGAAAGAGTCTGATTAGTTAATTCGCTTATGCACTATGCGTTATGCGTTATGCAAGAGTCTGTGCTGCGGCCTTAAGTGTGGCTATTGATCGCGCTAGGCCGCCGCCTGATGGCGTTGATCTCAATGTCGTAAACCGTCTCTGAATTGGCATCCTTGTAATCGCGGAGCGGAGTGACGCTATTCTCGGTTCGTTCGTTTCGGATAAAAACGCGTCGAGTGAGTATAATTTCATCGATTTTTGAAGTGGTAAACACACGCACACAATTACCCTTGCAATATAAAATTCCACACATGAATTTTTTTAAATTTAATATATCTTTAAAACGACACGATAAAAATTAATGAAATTTCTCTGGATATTGTTATAATTAACATATAAATAATGTATCGTATATGTATTACAGTTTTATAAAATTCATCGAACATGAAAACCTCTTTTAAAAAAATGCTCGGAAAATTCACACTGAGTATTGCGTTTGTGAGGTGCTATCTATGCTGTTCAATTTAATTTAAGATTTTAATTATGTTAACGATAATGTTAAGGTATATTGTTTCTAATCATAGATTGAGATGTAGTGTTAATCATAAAACTGAAGAAGTCTAAGTCAAAAAGTATTAAAATCGTTCACTAGCAATCTCTAAATCTTAATATTTTTTGATAAAAATTTAGGAGTGTTTTTTTGATATGAAATGGAAGCTTTTGAGCTGAGAGGCGGATTTAAAAAAAAAATTTTTTTTTCTTGTTAGTCTAATATACATATATATGCATGTATATGTATACACTTTATTATATTACAGCAAGAATATATTACGTCTGTGAAAAAGATGTTACCAACGATGTCAAAGGATTCAGAGATTAAAGATGGAGAAAACAAGAATCTGATTAAGATTGTAGAGCGGCCAACATTTATATTGAAGACTAGAGAAGGAGAAAATAGAGCTGTTTCTCCAAGTCAACGTAATGGTCACAAGTATAGTACTACTATTAAATAATTATAACAATTAAATCATACGTTCATCTGTTACGTATTTATTATGTATTATATATCTATTATGTATGTATTATATATAATACGACCAGATATTTTCGGATTTAACAATCAAGTGGGATAACTTCATTAAGCGATACGGGCGGAGAGGAATGTATCAGAGTTGAGAAAGTTATTTTGCTAAAGTAACTAATTACTATTATATACTTACACAAAAAGTATAATAACTTTTCAATTACTTTTCTGTTATCATTGCAGAACAACATAGATAATTTTGTGATACTATTAGGACCAATAAAGAAAAAGATTAATTTACATTTGATTTACAATTATTACGAAGAATATTGGCCTCGGTGGTCGAACGGTAAAGACAACCGCATGGAATATGAAATTCCGGGTTCAAATCCTGACTGAGGTAATATTTTTCGCAATTTTGCAATAGTTCTTTACAGTTTTTAAGATGCTAATAGCATCAAATTACGGTCTCATTAATAAATTTAGGGAGATTATTTGAGATTGATTGTGTTGAAAATCCGAAAATAATTAATCGCACAATCATATTTCTGATATAAAAATTTATTTGAAATACATATACATATATGTATAGTTTAACATCTAATTTTGACCATAATTGGTTTCTCATATTTAGATGATTAATTTATATGTTACAATTTTATTTAAAAAATAAAAAGTATTAAGCCAGAAACACATAGAAAAACATAAGGCAGTAAGATGTAAGCGAATCGGTCAATTACAGTAAAAAATGTAAGACTATGTTATCTTCTATAATTGGTCGCTTTGTTTATTGCTTCCTAGATAACATGCATGTTGCATAAGATATCTAAAAGACGTCTTGTCCTAGAGATACAGCGGTTTAAAGTTTTAGTAAAAAAAAGTGAGATCACTTAAAAATGCCAATTTTTTATATTTTGCCTCCGCAAATGTTTCCGACGTCTCGGAGGAAAGTGCATAGGACATTATTTGAAGTAGACTATGAAATGCTGCCTGCGATTAATAGAATCGGAGATATGAAGTGAAGTTGATTTAAAATTGTTTTTTTTTAGATATTCATTTTTTAACTTAAAAATCGCTGTTTTTTTATGAGGTTGGAAGACAGATTGATAAGGTTGAAAAAGATTACTGTTCAGAGTCGTCTTTTGAGCGAAATATTTGCTAATTTGTTAGTAAGTAAATACAATAATTATATATTAGTACTAATATAAAACTAGTTGAACTTTTATTTTGTAGAAAGAAATATTTCTTTAAGGAGAGAGGTGTAAAACACTTATTTTGTACAAAAAAATATCTCTTTGTAAACAAACAACGATTTATAAGTTAAAAAATGGATATCTAAAAAAAAAAATAATTTTAGACCCAAATTCACAGCTTCATATCTCCGGTTCTATAATCGCAGACAGCTCTCCATAGTCGCCTTTTTTCTGTCATAAAGTCCATATAGTCTTGGTAGAAGGAAATTCATGGGTTTCAATGTTGCTTTAGTTTTGTTGGAAAGCCTACCTTTTCCTATTAAAACACTGGTGTTCCGTGTAATCTTTAATTCCTTTTTATCTACTTCCTATAACACATCTTTTACCGAGCATTTAGACTGCGCGCAGATTGGTGAGGGACGGGAACCAAACTGAAAATCGGCTGAAAGTTGCAAATAAATTCCAGCACTGTTTTAAGCATATACTGCAGGCGTAAAGCGAATTTTAAAGTAATAAATTTAAAAGCTGGGCCTTATTCGGCTCAGGTACCTTATATATCTTTATCCTGCAGTCTGATTCATGATCACTATCGCGTTGTCTTCGCTGGAAATACGATAATGTCTGGGTCCTTGTTTAGTTCCTGAAGTGCTGCTCTTCTCTGGTGATGTTGATGTATAGAATTTGCTTACACAGTTAAAAAAAAACCGATTCTTCAAGTATAATTTTAATAAGATAATTAAATGGTATGACATTTTTTTTCTCTCTCGTGCATCCTGTATGTAAATATTGAGAACAGGACCCATATTTATATTTTTATTCAGAATAATTTTTCAAACGTTCTATCATATAGCATTTTTCATTGGCAGAACTAGTGCGGCACTCAGTGCACATTGAAGCTGTTGACTCTAATCAAAATGTAAAAGTGAGATATCTCAATTGATAAAATGCCCAATGTGTATTTTATCAAATAGCACAATAAAATGTATTGAATATTTCACAGTTTAATTATCGTTTCTATATTTTTATTAAACATACATCTTTATGTCGATTTGTGTACAACGCCTTTAAAGTGCACTGAGTGCGCACTAGTTATGAAAAATTATATTATGAAAAACTAATAATTTGTTACTCTCGTTCTACATATGATATAATAAAATCTTTTATAGAAAAGATGCCGATATGTCTTCAGCAGCACCATCAAAAATACAAGAATGTAAGTAACTTATATTTAATGTAAATAATCCGTATAGAATGTCTAAAAACTATTGAATGTCTTTTTAATGAGATTTTCTGACTAATTTGAAGTTTTTTTAACAAATATCGAGAACATTTTTTGCAAATTCCTAACTTTTATATCATATATTTTTGTAACTAGATTTAAAATTAAAATTCGATTGTAAAGAAGCAGTTCTATTATCCATCTTGAAGTTTAATTGTGTAAAGTTGTTTTTTTTTTAAATTTCTTATAAATTGGAAATTATTAATGTCCCAACACTTGCTGAAAAAAGTTGGTATCAAATTAAACAAAGAATTTGTGATTAAAAGAATGTCTCAAATGTAGACTAAAATATATTGTTTCGGTTAATTTAAAAAATTAACAATAAGATATAAAATATATTATCGATTATAATAGTAAGTTAATATTTCATTTATCGTACAAATTTTTCAATCGTATTGATTCATAAGATAGAGGATTTCTAGAAATTCTAGAACTTCTCTATCCTGCAGCCAGTCAACACTTGAAAAATTTGTCATATGACAAATGAAATATTAGCTTAAGATATCAAAATGATATTTCAGCGATTCGTATGCTTTCCATATGTCCTGAAATGAGTACATGCATCAAATTCATGGATGAAAATATGCAACTATGTGAAAATTCAATAGATTTTTTGTATGATCAACAAGACTTTCTAGTCGTTGGATGTTTAGGTGCACAAGGTGTCGGTAAATCGACAATCATGTCACTGCTAACATCGCATTACTCGTATGTATTACGTTTTTTGCAATATATGTGATATTAGCTTTTTTACTGAAATTAATATTATTTTAATAATTTTGTTTTATGTGGTTAGATCTAACATTTTTCAAGTTCAAGATTTGTCACATTATGAAAATAGTACAAATTGTACCACTGGAATAGATTTTTTTATAACTAAAAATAGAGTAATATATTTGGATACACAACCAATTCTTTCTGGATTTGTGATTGATTCTGCTGCATCCTTTGATCAGAAAAAAGGTGCATCTGATTTTATGAATAGTGATTCTAATTTGGAATTACAATCACTTCAGTTTGCAGCATTCCTATTTTCAGTGTGCCATGTTATTATATTTGTACAAGATTGGTTTATCGATCCAAATTTAGTAAGGTAATATTGTAATAAAAAATATTTATTAATTTGACTATAATATTTGATAATATTATATAATTACTTTTTGCTATTAAAATTTACAATGCATAATGAAGTAGCTATTTTTCGTATAGATTTTTACAAACTGCAGAAATGTTAAAACCATCCTCAACAACAGTCATAGATCAAGATTATGTAGAATATTATCCACATGTTATATTTTTGCATAATAAAGCAGAATTGCAAGATTTTATGCCAGCTACTATTGATGAAATGAAGGTATTTTATCACATATAATGTGTTATCTATTTCAAAATATATCTTATCTTATCTATGACATCTGAAATATTCATAGTTAATTCTTATATTTAAGACTCTTGTTTTAAGGCTTCTAAATAGTCTCTGTGACCATTATTGAATCATAAGCGATCAAAAATGGCACGTTAAAGTGCCCATTTCTTTCATGCCATTTATGGGGATGGTGACTGCCACTTGTAGCCGATAGGAGGCTAGTGTGCTTAGAGACATGTCAAATTACGTCTGTTTATGAAACTGTATATAAAGACAAATATTTTAATGTTGACATGCCGGGCATGTATGTAGCAGACAGATGCAAAAATAGGGGAGGGCATCAATTCCTGAAAGATGAAGGGATGAAAAAACGGTGAATCGCAGCAAAATATTTCCGCCCAAGTGCAAAATCGCGTGTGAGAACAGACCATTTTAGACTCGAAGATTATGCTACTACTGGCTTTGATTCAGATGATTTGTACTAAGATTACTGAGTATATAGTGAGAAATAGCATTTTCGTTATTATTTCTTAATGTGATTTATGTTTTAACCATAAATAGTTAACAAAAACAACAATTAATCTATTAGAGCAGTATTAAAGTCCACAGCAAATTAAATTATAAACGAAATGTGCTGTTTATTTTTGCGATTACGTCCCCTAGATCGGTGCTGCCCTCTACGCTGAGCTTATTAAATAGCCTATGAAATAGCCATTCCCATAAATAAAGAGAATTTGGGTAAAACAAAATGGTGATCGCTTTAAAACAGTTGTAAAAATGAGCCGAAGTTATCCTCTCCCCCCGAACCTGACTTCATGCGCAGCATGGCAGCAAAATGCTATTATTGGTTAAAAATTTTTTGTGAGGTGACACACTTCCAATCAGTTCATGAAAATTTGAATCACATTTTGCTGCCGCAGCGTGCTACGCATGAAAAGTTAACTTGATAGTCAATAAATAGTCATAAAGAGCACGTGAAGTACATTTACCAACATTTACTTAATGCATATGCAAAACCTTTTCACTTTACACGTGTCTTACTATTTACTACTTGATTTCGATTGCATTATGAAAATAATTCTGTCTTCTATGTTTTATTTTAAACAGCATTTTTATTTTATACAACAAGCTATTGAAATGTAAATTAACACGAAAGAGAAAGTAAAAATAGAAAAATTATAGTCTTATAAATATATCATAATATAAAAACTTGTTTACATTTGAATACTATTTTCAAAATTATATTTTTACTTTTTTCAGGATTTTTATAATAAAGTATTTTCTAGTTCTCGACTACAAACTCATAGCGGTATAGATATGAATCATTGTTCGACAGAAAGTGGTTTAAATTTATTTTTTATACCTTCGAGAAATAGACAAGGTAAAGATTATTTTAGATCGTTTATGGAAAATTATATATTAATATTTAATGTACTTAATTATATTCGTTTTATTATTTAATTATATTCGTAATTATATTTTTTGCAGAAGACATGATTTTTTGTGAAAATGAAAAATCTCTTATAGATAAATTGCGAACAAAGATATACGGAGTTCCTAGGAATTCAATTACACCTTCTGTGTTAACAGAAAAAAATTGGTAATTAGATAATATTTTAAGACATATTTTTTAATTTTAATCGAATACTAAATTATTTTATTTATTCTTTATCTTACTTTCGATTCCTATTTGTATTCTAATTATTTGATTATTAAATCAATAAAACACAAATAAAATCTTTAGAGAAAGTCGAGAATAGACAAGAATACATAATTTTATTTCAAAAAGAGAATACAAGAAATCTGTCTATTTTATATGTGCGATAAAATAATGCAAATATTATTGATAGGTATCATTACGTTTCAAAAGTCATAGAAGTTATAAAGAAAAGCCATCTGTCTTCTGAATATGGAAGATTAATGCCTTAAATCTAAAAGTTTATATGAAAGAAGGATATAAAAAGAAATGAGAGATATATAATTAATCTACTTTATTATATGATATATCATTTTTATATATTATAATTTTAAATTAAGAAATGTAGAAGTATTCAGTATACACTATTGTAAAATATGCTGTAGAATTAAATTATTAAAAACGGTTTTCAAAAATAATAGAATTTGCATTCAACATTTTTCATTTTGTTCATCGCTATTGTTTCCATCTCTATTAATCCTCCCTCCCCCCCTTCTCTCTCTCTCCCTGTCCTTCCTCCTATTTTATGTTAAATATTATAAATACCTTTTTTACATAAAGAACAAATTGTTTTTACAAACGAACTTCATCGTTTGAATTTCTTTATGAATAATCTTCTTGTTCGCTGTCACCTTGTTGCATGGATGTCATTTGTGTAACAGCTTGTAATTGTTGCCACTGTTGCTGTTCCGCGACTGCTTGTTCCTCTCTTGCTTTAGCAAATAACTCCTGTTGTTGCCGTAATAATTCTTCTTCTGGAATGCCTAAATTTTCTAATCTGGTACTTTGACGTCTTCTTTTAGCCGCTACAGCTTTGCAATCCCGTAATACAGCCTCTGCTTCTGCGTTGTAATCACCAAAGCCCAATTTATCAAGTGCTTGTAAAACGTGTTCTGCATTTATAGTTTTTTTTTGTTGTTGATTGCAAATTTCATTTGCTTCGGAAGACAACAAATGAATGAATTCTGTACAACAGTTCAAAATAAGCTCTCTGGATTCATTTGCCACTCGCACATGAGGTAATATTTCCTTGATTATTTTGTTAATTGATGCACGAGGAAGAGTAAGCTCGTCATCGTCAGTTGGTGACATTGCAGCCGAGGCCATTTGTGTAACTTCTGAAATATTAAATAAGAAAGTGTTGAAGATTTATGTGCGTGCGTGCGTGCGTGCGTGCGTGCATGGGTGCGTGCGTGCGTGCGTGCATGGGTGCGTGCGTGCATGGGTGCGTGCGTGGATTAAGTATGATTTATGATAAATATATACACACATTAATTTTTATTATTGATAAGAATAAATTTTTCGTTAATTATGATCATTACGTAGTTACTGAATTAATAATTGTATATTCCTAACAATTTTTATGATTTTTCAATTATTATCCTATTAAATAATATGTATTATTTTTACAATGAAAAGATCATTTATCATTTTATACGACAGGAAGTCGTAAGGTTCTTACACACCTCGATTATCAGATAAGAGTCATCAGATATATGTTCCAGATAGATATTGCTAAAGATAAATCCTATTTAAACTTTGAAGTTGAAATAAAATACAGTATTATTGATTGAAGTAGAGAAGACATCTTGTTATTCAATGTATTACAATCAAAATATAAAATAGTATAAAAATGTAATATATCTAAATTATTTAGAAAATAGACATACTATAAAATGAGATGTTTATACAGTGTAAATATATTTTAATATATGATATAATTATTGTGTGGCTTTTATATTCTGATACAATATGTGCAAATGTAAAAAATGTAACAAAATTTGCTGGCGTTGTCGAAAATATTACAGTGCACGTTTCAGAAAATGAAAGTTATTTCAAAAACGACAATGTACTAAAATCATTGAAATTGAATGTATCTTGGACGCCACCAAATGGAGAAAAAGAACCTTCTTCATACAGGTACTGCACTAACTTTTCAATTATAATTACCTATAAAGATTATATAAATAACAAAAATTTCAATATGTGTTATAGTGTTATGATTACAAGTATGTTAAAAGAAACTGATATAAATAGAACAGAATGTACAGAAGGTCTCGCACTCTACAATGTGCAAAATAAAAGTCAATTTAGCATATTAGTACCACAAGATAAATTATTGAATGGTATATCGGATATACAAATACATCCAAATTGTACCTACAAAATACAAGTGTATGCCAATCCGAGAGTTAAGCCCATAGGAAAGTTACCAGAGGTGAAATTATGAATTAACATTATAAAAAAACATTAAACTATATGTATGAAATTTTCAAGATGTTTTCCGTTATATTGTAGGTCATCTATAGAGTTCCAGAATGTATAAGACATAAATGCAGTTGCGCAGATGCAAAATCTATCTTGCCTATTCCAAAAGTAGAAGTAATCCGAGCAAGAGAAGATGTAGTTATTAACTGGAACATTACGTCGAATAATTCTCACATTCATTCTTATATAATTAGGTGAGCTTTTTTATTTTACTCTATTAATTTGATTGTCATATCATTTTGCTTAAATTATAATGCAATATGTAATATTTTAGTGTTGGCATACCATTGTTGATATCAAAAACGGGACATTCTGTGTATAATATCACAAAGATAAGTAACGTGACTTCTACAATAAATACCTTTAATTGGAACATGAGAATTGATGATCAATATGTAAAAGTAAAAAATGGATATAAAATATTGGTAGCTGCAATGGATTATCGAAATTGTTTAGGAACTCAAGGTGGTTACACTATTGTTGATATAAGCAAAACTAAAATACTGGACAGGAGTGCTATGGTATATATAAAGATATATATTAACAATTAATATGTATATGTGTATAATATAAAATTCTTATAACATAATTATGTTATAGTGGCTATTACTTGCCGGTATTGTCATTTGTGTTATACTAGGCTTTATTAGTATTATATCAATACATAATAAAAATGGGTATCAACTTGTATTTCCTTTCAGACGGTAAGTAAAAAGTTTGCTATTTATATATATTATTTTTTACAATTTATGTATGTGTATAGTAATTACTGCATATTTATTATAGCAAACATTTTATTTTTAACGATAGGAGACAAACAGTGTCTGATCCTTCTGCTTGTAAACTGGCTCAATGGCCAGATCCAGTTTTTCAGAGACGTAATATCGATGTATATGTTGAACAAAAATCTGAGGTAAATGGAAAGATTAAATAATTAAAAATAAATTTAAAATTTTAGCATTTAAGAAACTTCTTATAGGGGACATGTTACAAAGTTCAGAAAGATGAATTTGAAGTACCATACAAATATATAAATTTTATATATGAATTAGGAAAGGGACAATTTGGTAAAGTATACCTAGGTAGCTTAAACAACAAGAACATATTAGTAGCTGTTAAAATGTCACAATGTTCTGATGCATGTAACGAATTTGAAGCCAGACATCAATTACTGGAAGAAATTAAAATAATGAAGGCAGCTGGTTCTCATACACATTTAGTGAGCCTTATAGGTTGCTGTACTTTACCTAATAATCCTATATGCATACTTTTAGAATATATGGAAGGTGGAGATTTGCTTGCATATCTACATTATAGAAGAAAATTTAAATCAGATGATCAACTTTTGTATAGTGTTGAAAAGGCTGTATCTAAATACACAAATATTGTTGAAAGAAACAAAAATGTTAATGAAAATTTGTATGATACAATTGATAATCAACAATTTATAAAGTTTGCACTTGATATTGCAAGAGGAATGGAACATTTGGAAGCTAAAGAAATTATACATAGAGATTTGGCAGCAAGAAATATCCTCCTTACTTCAGATCGAACACTAAAGGTAGTAGACATCTGTATAACAATTATTTAAAAAACAAATAGTATATACAAATTTATTGTATTATGGATTTAGATTTCTGATTTTGGTTTGTCACGAAATGGAATATATGTAATAAATAATATGGCTGGCAAAATTCGTCAACTCCCAATACGTTGGATGTCACCAGAAGCTATATGTGATCATGCTTTCTCTTCTAAAAGTGACGTCTGGTCATTTGGTGTTGTGCTCTGGGAAATTGGAACTCTAGGTTCTTTTCCATATGCTAGTATACAAGATAACGAGTTATTGCGTTATTTAATTCAGGATAAATGTCGTTTGACATGTCCTAATACAGTTTCTCACAATATATATAAAGTTATGTGTTGTTGTTGGAATATGGTTCCGCAAGATAGACCTAGTTTTGCACAACTTGTTTTAGATTTGCAAATATTAAAAAAATCTTTACATTCTATGCATGATGCAAGCAATCCTTGTTATGCATTGCATTCATATTAATATAATATATTATATCTTAGAATTAATTGAAAAGATATGTATACATATGTATGTGCATTACAAGAAAATAAAAGTAAAATATGAATGTTTCTATTAAAATTGTAAAACATTTTCTATTAGCTGCATTTCTAAGTCCGAAAAAAATTAATTTGGCACACAGTTCAAATGACTACAAATACAGTATATATAAATTCATATGGAATTATCTAAGCATTAAAAATCTAGCTTCGACCGTTATGCGCCTTTATTTCCTATTGATTGAATTATAAAGTTTTATTTCATGGAATATAAAGATTAATATTGGGAAATAAAATATTTTATTAAAAAACAGTTCAAAGAGTTCTAGCAAATACAGCATATTTAACAGTAAGAATAAAATCAGCGATAAATGTTCTAATCCTAATAAGACATCTGTTAGTACATACTCGTACATAAAATGAAATGTATATATTTTAAATTTGTAAAAGCGAAATAGACGATATTTATAATCGGTTCTTATGGCTAAGATTGTCTCAAGTATGGCTTTAAGGTTCCATGAATCCATCAGAGGGCTGTATTAGTATCTTAAGACATTACTTAAGACTTCAAATAACAACGGACTATGGCTGGTATTCATAGTCGATTCTTATTTCAAGACCATCTTAAGTAATGGCTGCGTTCAGCAGACTCAACAGTTTTGCAACCGTTTTATGATTGTCTGCTGAGATAGGACCATTCTTCTAGATCTAAAAGTATGATCCAATTAGCGCGAAGGAAACTTCCAACAGTTGCAAAACAACCGTTCTGCTGAACGCAGCCAATGTCTCAACATGCTAATGCGATTCTCTGATTGGTTCGTGACACCTCAAGACTGAACTTAAGACGATCTTGAATATAAGAACTGACTGTGAATATTGGTCTATGAATACTGCGCAGAAAGTTTTAGTGCAATTCAGCGTAGTGATAAATAGGATTAGATACATATTTAAAATCTGGCAAAAGCATGAAAAAGTTTTAGTGCAGTTTAGTGTAACGACAAAATATATAAATCTATTTAAAGTTCTAATACAGTCTAGTGTAGGAATATAAGGGCTTGAAGATCTAGGGCAGAATAATAGGCCTAAAGAATAGACCTAATATTACAGAATAATAGGTTGAGTTTAAAGGAAAAAAATATACTTATTTATATATAAATTGTATTACAATAAAATATTTATGAAAGAATGCTAAAATAACACAAGTTTTTAGATAATAATGCAAAAATATCAAAATTTGTGATGTCTAAAAACAAATATTTTCGTTTAATATTTACCATATACCACAAGCATAAACGTAAACGTAAACGGCATAATAATATTACATTACAACTTTAACACAATATCTTTTATATATCGGAAGAATTTAAGGTGCTTTTATTTACATATCTTTTAGTTCACTTACTTATTATTTTACTCCGTTATTAATGTATGTACCGTAATCTAACTAAAGATTAACCAAGATGACACAAACTACAATTACCACAAATCGATCATTGAGATCTTGACACCAGTGTCGCCAACACTGTTGATAGAACAAATTTCTAAATAAGAATAAAAATCTCTAGAAATCGTCAGTTAAACTTCACCCAACTTATGCGGGGTCTACAATAAAAGTCGTAACGGTCGTAAGGGCTTAAGTCGTAGAAAATTGACCAATCACAGTTGAGTATTCTTCTCATATTCGACTGTGATTGGTCAATTTTCTACGATTTAAGACCATACGACTGCTACCACTTCTATTGTAGACCCCGCATTAAGGCCATCACACGTACAAAAATTTTAGTCGAATCGTAAGGTCGCAAGCAAATCGACCAATCAAAATTAAGATCTCGTGTTTTTAAATGCTCAACTGTGATTGGCCGATTTGCTTGTGGCCTTACGATTACGACTAAAATTTTTGTACGTGTGATAGCCTTTACTGCGTTCTGCGTCCTACAAGCATATTATGATTAAAATATGTTAGGTTAGTTCCTAGTTTTGCGACCTGCAAACCGCGTTCTGCGTCTTATGTAGATCGGGCTTACTATCCTGCGCACAATAGAAGGAATAAGGAATTAGGAATAAAGAATAAACGATTTCAACCTATCAGAAATCGGATACATCGGAATATACGATTTCTGATAGGTTGAAATCGTTTATTCTTTATTCCTAATTCCTTCTATTGTGCGCAGGGCCTTATATTTCAGGGACTGCGCACAATGAAGGAATAAGAACAGAAAATAGGAACAGGAACAAAATAAGAATTTCAATCTATCACAGAAACTGTGTATTCCACAATACATGATAGGTTGAAATTCTTATTCTCTGTTCTCTCTTCCTTTTATTCTGCGCAGCCCCTCATTGGTTAATACACGTATCAAGTGCACGATGTAAACTGGGCCTAAAACAGATCCCCATTATTTTTAACCCACTATACATCCGCCGGAATGGGTCGCCTGTCTAATTCTATCATAGTGATTAGTGGTGACCGTGATGACATTGGTTGCGTTCAGCTGCGTTCAGCCGAGAAAGCAACTTTTAAATGTTGTAAAATTCTTCAATACGATTGGTCCTTGCTTTTGATTTCTTATAGATCTAAACGTATAAACCAATCATATTGAAGAATTTTACAACATTGCAAAACTGCTTTCTTTACTGAACGCCTTTCACTTGAACCTAGTTGTAGTATTGCACCGACCACCAGGCAGAACGGTTAATCGAGGTTAGTCCCAGTTAGTCCGAGAGTATCATTCTCGACTGTGATACGCGAGAAATCGTAAGAAGTAAGTGAGAACAGTTCGAATTGTAAGTACGTTGCTTTTATTGATAAATCTCTTTAATTCGCGAAATCGGTTATCACATGGTAATGATGAGCAATCCATTCTATGGACAATAAATCTTCGAGTGTAAACCTGATTTTACAATGAATCGGTAGTCTGTAGTCTTAAGTCTTATCGGTGAATCGGTGGAGTTGGCCAACAGCCAACTTGTACGACTAATGTCCATTTCTATACCAATGCAGTTTAACTTTAATCTTGATTCAACTAACTCTTCATCTTTTTCTAGTTTTAAGAATAAGAAATTGATGAAGAGTAAGTTGAACTGAGATTAAAGTTAATCTACATTGATAGAAACGGGCATTAGACTACCGATTTTCTTAAGACTGACCAAATTCGACTTTATTCTTTCCCAGTAATCGAGCTAACCTACTCGCTGTACAATTAACAACTAGTAGATGCGAAAAATTATTATAGTCACCTATGTAGGTTAAAACTTAAAATTTCCGGCTACTGACTCATTGTAGAATCAGCATTAAGTGATCCTAAGTTTCAGTCAGTGAAGTTGGCCAATAACCAATTTGTATGACTAAGGTCAAGATTGGTCAAGAGATAAACAGCAAGAAACAGAAAACAAAGAGCACATTGTAGAATGGCTATAAGACTTTTAATTACTGCCTACCGACTCATTGTAAAACTGTGTAAAAACCCTCGTCAGGGCCATAGCACACAAAAAAACTTAAGCAATAAAACGTAAGCGAATTGATCAATCACAGTAGAGTTCGTAAGGCCATAACATAAGCAGTAGCGAATCCAACATGTTGATTTCCTTACTGCTTACGTTTTACTGCCTTAAGTTTTTTATGTGCCAGGACCCTAATGCCTGGTTTATGCTTCGGTCTTAATCTTAAAATCCTAAAATTCAACCAATGGAATACAGATTTTAGTTAGGACCAATTAAGACTGGCAGACCTATTGGCTGAATTTTAGGATTTTAGGGTTAAGACCGAAGCATAAACCAGGTATTAGTCTTAATTAGTCTTAACCTAAATAGGTAACTATGATTTTTCGCATCTACAAGTTGTTAATTGTACGAGTCCTTTAGCTCGACTAATGGGAAGAAATAAAGTCGAATTTGACTAGTCTTAAAAAAATTGGTAGTATTCGTACAAGTTGGTTGTTGACCAACTTCATTAATTCACCGATAATAAAACTTAGGACTACTGACTACCGACTCATTTTAGAATCAACATGATATTCGCGACTTCACAATAATCGTGATCTGTGTCATGTAATCGCAATTGGTTTCGGGAAATAAATGAGAGTGAATGAATGAAAGCTGGAATTTGTTATATTTTCCCAGAAATGCACGCAATATTATTCACGTGCACGCTGTACTGTTCGATTTGGTATATAAAGAACGATTAATTACTGGATGTTTTCCAATTGACACATCTTGACACAAACATAGCAAATTATTTCACTTATATTTCGGTGTTAATAAATAATTTAACCCTTTTAATTACATATTCTTTGTTGTCACAATAACCTCGTAACCTCGAAAGAATTAAATCTGGAAACATGAGTGTCTGGGCGTTAAGCCTTGTGTCCACGATGTTAAGCCCAGTGTCCACGATGCTAGAAATCCGTCCGAGATCTCGGATGAAGAAAGAATTGACCAATCGAATTGACCATGTGACTAAATTGTTTAAATGTGATTGGTTAATTCTTTCTCTCTCCGAGATCTCGGACCAATTTCTAGCATCGTGGACACAAGGCTTTAGAAATTGGTCCGAGATCTCGGAGAGAGAAAGAATTAACCAATCACATTTAAACAATTTAGTCACATGATCAATGCGATTGGTCAATTCTTTCTTCATCCGAGATCTCGGACGGATTTCTAGCATCGTGGACACTGGGCTTTAAAGCCCAATGTCCACGATGCTAGAACTATGCCCGAGTTCTCGAATCGAGAAATGTGTAGCCAATAAACTTGCCGGTTTTCCGTAAAAACTGTAAGCTGATTGGCTACACATTTCTCGATCCGAAAACTCGGACCGATTTCTAGCATCGTGGACATTGGGCCTTAAGCTTTGTAAACAAATCACATTTGAACAATTTGATCACATGACCATTGCGATTGGTCAATTCTTTCTCTGTCCGAGATCTCGGACCAATTTCTAGCATCGTGGACATCAGGCTTTAGACCGGAATCAGACTAGGCATT